GATATTTGGGTATATGGCCTTGATTAGTTTGCCTTTTATAAGGTCGTGTCCAGGGGGCTTGTTACCAAGGCCATGCACAATAGAGTCTAGCTCTCCTACTTGTAAGGGTACGTGTTCAGGTCCATGAGGGAGAATCGGTTGCAAGGTTTCAAACTCTCTCAATTTTCTTGTTTGCCTGGGAGTCAAGTCAGCATCAGGCAGCAGTCGGTGCAGCAGAAAATTCATTGACTCCTCCGGTGTTCGTGTGTGTCCGTTACCCTGTGCAAAAGAGCACAGCGGTTTTTTTTTTTCTAAATTTTTCTGTGGCCAACTTGTATACCGTACCCCATGGATCAGTCTGCAGACTGTCTTCTACAAATCGTCTCCAAGAGTCGTGCTTTGCCTGGCCCATAGCCTGTTTGAAGATTTCTCTGTGGGCCGTCATGTGGTTAAATAGATAGTCTCGGTCTTGTTGGATCACATTCGAGTATAGGAGTCTTTTCTTTCGATGGTAGATTTTTCTAAAGCTTTCCACTCTGTTCGTCCACCAGTTCGGCCTGTTCGGGTACTGCGCCTGACGCGAGCGGTATTTGCTATGTTGATATGGAATAGCTCATGAAATCCAGCAACTATTGTGTCAATAGATCTTGGGCTGTCAGGCTGGGGCAGCCTCCCAACTTCTGTGACGATGTTGCGTATCTCATTATTGACTGTGTCCATGTTTAGTTTTGTAGGGTCCAGGATATATCGATTTTTAGAGGGTTGTGTCCTAGGTTCGTTTGGGACGAATAGTATGCAATTGAGGTCCGCGATGTTTAGCTCTCTCTAGACCTTCCAGTCCACAAACGCACTTATTAGGCCGCTGGTGAGAAGCGTCAGGTCGATGTTGCTGTGCTCATTTACCGTCTCAAAAGTTGGCGGATAGTTTGGCCATTGCATATTGCGAGGTCGTTAAATATTATAAATTCTTCCAATATCTCTGCATCAGCATCGTTATTGTTATCATAACATACCATCGACCTGCAGTTAAAATCGCCAGCCAGAATTGTTTCACCCAGGAGACTGTCTGGAAGTATAGGTTTGCCCTGATCATTGTCAATTCCTAGAATGAAGTCATTTATGTTAGTGTTGGGTGGTCTATATACAGAGATGATATTTACAATTTTGTCATGAAACTTAATACTAATAAGAACCCTATAACTATCTGAGAGATGCTCATTAAAAATAAAATCTAGGTTGCCATGCACAACATTGCAAGCGTAAAACCTGTTGTTGTTGGTGGAACATACTTTTAAGGGCCCTGCTGTGGGGATTTAAAAGTTGTTATTATTTTGATAGCAGTAGGGCTCTTGGAATATTCCAACATCAATGTTATTTGTTTTCATGTAATTTAGTGTCTCAATAGTAGCAGTTCTAGAAAATTGCAAGTTAGCTTGAATTACAGATAAATTATTCATTAAAGTCAAAATCAACACTATTAATGTAGTCCTGTAGCTTTGCTTCATATACTGGACACTTCTTGGAGCCTGCGTCATGTTCTAGGTCTCTCTTTCCTGCACGCAAACAGTTTGCGCACTTCACACTACCCTGCACTTCCTTGTTGGCACAGTCCTTCGACTCGTGGTCTACGCTTGCGCAAAAACCAAACTGCTTCTCCAAATTGCAAAACTTTGCAACATGCCCGAACCGTTGGCACTTGAAACACCGTGAGATATGGATGTAATCCTCTGCGTTGCATGCCTTCCAGCCAAAATAAATTCTGCCTTGTTGTTTGAAGAATTGCCTAACCTTGGGTTGAACTCCCAATACCCAGTTTGGGTTGTGTCGGGCGTCCTTAGAGCCCACTTTGAATAGAAGTTTGTGCCATTTATCAGGTGTGTCCACCTCCTCAGGAATGTTGCTGCAAATTTCCTCCAAGACTTCCCCTTTTGACAGGTCTTTCGGAACGCCATAGACAATAATTCTCGGCCAGAGTTTCTCAGGTAGGCGTGCCATAAGTTCGGATTCCTTGAGATAATTGGAGTTGATCAGACCAGCAATGTTAGGATCAGTAGATTTAATCAAGACCCATTTATCCCTTACCAAGACCACCCTATCAGGCTTTACGCCCAGCCTTCGTGGGTCCAGTTTGAGCAGAGCTACTTTTGTTTCTTCGGAAGTTGCAGGTGGATTTGTGGTGCCATCTTTGGGAAAAATTATAGCCTTATACTTTTTCTAGGCTGGAAGGCTTGAGGAAGGCAAGTTACGTCCAGGTTGCTTTAGGGCCATGGCATAATTAGCCTGGATGTTGTTAGCTGGCTGCTTATCCAAGGCCTCATTTATAGTTTTCACTACCAGCTCCTTGAGGTTTTCAGCATCGTGTTTTCACACCAATTGTGCATTGATATTGCGAAGGGCTCTTTGTATGGAGTTTATTGCATCAGTGCATTCCCTCTTACGAGTAAAAGTGTCCTTGGACGAGGTGACGAAAGCCAGCAAAAGTTTGAGACCGCTATCGATAAGTTGCATATCGTCATCCTCTGTGGTCTCAGTGGTCTCAGGAGAGAGTGATTGTGACCTTTCGCGACCCGTGGGTGTCATCCCTGGTTTAAAAGGTCGCATTTGTCAAAATTGAAAACTCTTGTCCTTGATCCGAAAACAGCGGATCGGGCAGATCCGGCGTGCAGATGGGGCCGAGAAGGTGTTGTGTGAATCCTCAGTTGGAATAGATCGAGCAGACAAAGTGGAGTGGTAATATTCCAACAGGTATCTACCTGTTCAGGTGATTTTCAGGTAATTTTTGCACTTACCTGTGCAGGTAATTTCAGGTAATTACAGGTATTTACCTGTTCAGGTATGTTACCTTTATACCTGTGCAGGTAAGAACAGGTATTGTGTAGGTATGACAGGTTCAGGTGAAAGGTGGCTTACCTTTGTTTGTCACTCACTTTTGATTTGTCAAAACTTTTCTTACCAATTCTGCCTGATCCAGGCAGAATCCTCCGACTGTTTCTTCTGCTCACTATTCACTTTAATTTATTTCAGCTTCCTGTACAAAATTTGGAATTTTTCGGACTCTTTTTTATACGAAATTAACGATTTTTGTAGAGCGAAATTTCCACCTTTTTCTATTTTGATAGACGTGTAAATGGGGGGTGGTATAGACCATCCTCCCTGGTTTGGGTAGGAACACCACTTTAACTTCTCTCCAAGCATTGGGTATGCATCTCAGCGCCAAGGACGCCCTGAACATCCCTATCAGAGGTGCTTTCCAGTGACCCATTTGAGTTACTCCTGAGCAGCTCAGGAGTGATCCACAATTGCTTTGCGCGTTCCAGTGCTTAGAGTGTCGTGCACTTGAACTACTCATTTCTGTTATCCCCTGCCCCCTCGTGCACCAACCTTTATTTCGGTGTTCCATGCTCCTGAAGTCCGAAATGGTGGGGGTTAAGACGAGAGCGTTCCAGTGCTGCTTACGTCGAACAGTTCAAGAGCGTCACACTCCAGGAGCATGATACTCTAACAATTTAGGCACTGGAAAGCAGCTCTGGTGAGGCAAGAGACCCCACTGAAGGGGGAGAAGGCGGAGAAGACTGGAATTGCCCAACCTATTTTTTCCTCGTATATTATCTGATTCGCTAGTTGCCAATCAGCCACAGAGGCTATGTATGTTACCTGCGTCTGATCCTCCACAACGGTGATGGTGGAGTCAGGAAAGTAGGTTGCTAGTAGTAACTCTGTGCTTTCTTGAAGGGTGGCAGTGAAGGTGCCATCCTCCTTGCACAGGATACCAATTTCCCGCAATGGGTCTTTATTAAGAGCTTTCTGAAGTCTCGCTGCGTGCCCTGATCGCAAGCTGTTTTACTAATGGTTAATCGGCAGGTTTGGGAGTCGATCTCATATGTAATTTTTTCTGCCTTTTCGTATCTACGTCTTTGGAGCCAACTTGTAACGTATGTACCCTCCAGTACTTTTACCTGTCTGCTAAATTTTTTCGCAATATCTTTAATATTACGTTTTGTGCTTTGCTTCGATGTGTTCATTCAGCTGTGAGCTCAGTACTTTAATCATGTCTAGGGCCTCCTTGAGAGCGAAAAATTCAGGGGCCTCTTTCTTCTTATATGCCTCTCCATCAACATCGGTTGATGTTTCTAGCTTCCTCTTGACTCTCCTTTCCGAACTTGTGGAGCTACTTTATTGCTGCTGTATGGACTGAGCTCTATTTGCCGCCATCCCTTGTTAGGTCTGGAGTAAGTGTGGCTCTTCGGTCTTTGCTGATGTTCCTGTGCCGAGGGTCTGTGTTTGTTCCAGGAGCTGTCGCCTGCGCCCCGGCCTGGTTCCCTACCAGGAGCGCTGTACCTACAGTCGTCTGATAGAAGTCGGGTCTGGCCTGCACCTCCACCAGGGTTCCCGACCGGTACTGGGGTATCCCTCTCCCGCACCGTGAGCAATTTAACCTATCCAATTTAAGCACAAGAGACGCCCTAATAATATGCTATACTCAGACAGAATAACACATATGGGAATCTAATGAAAGCTAGTGTTCCACCTTTCTTATTGTTATCGTCGAAAATCCATTAGTGCAAACTTTTATGGACATTTTCCATGAGCTAATATCAAAAACGATCTCTGGAGTCCAAAAGAAATTAATAGGCACAAACAAAAATCTATAACGGGCTCTTTCACTAATTTTTGAAATTGGCATAATTGGACAAAGCAACTGAATTTTCTGCAAATGAAATCAATCTCAAAATGTTCACGAAGTAAATTGAATGAAAAACTGGAGGTAAAAGAAATTTAAATTAGAAGTTTATTTTGAGAGCCATAAAACAACTTATAGTTTCAGTCATTTTTCGGCTTCTGCCTAGTCTCCTAATTCCAACTTTCAGATTTTACAAATTATATTATTAAAGTCAAATTAACAGTATTGTCTAGACAAATTATATACGCATATTATACCCCCATCATTTTCGAATAGCCCAGTACTGCATACCCGAGGTAGTAGAAGTACCTAATCAAAAACTCCTGCTGAAGACTTCTGATTGGCCTGCGCGTGGTGCAAGGCAATCGTTAAATAAAGAAAAGTTTATTCTTCACTTCGGCAGTACTAAGAGGTTGTTCTTTGAACGCAGACCTCTCAAGTTTGACTCGCACTTTTTTAATTATAAAGTTTAGGTAAAATGAAACTGTTTGTTTTGGCTGTGTTTGCTGCTTTAGCAGTTGGAACAAGTAAGTAACTTCTGATTTTCATTTGATACAAGTTTTCTAACCTATGGGAAGTTTTTCTCAGTACCTATCTTTTTTTTTTTTTTAAATCAAATATAAAAAATGCTGATGGTTGGTATAAATAGGTAATCTCTGTCTATCATTATAATTTTCAAAATTCAAGCTATAAGACGTAGATACTTTGTAAACCCATGACTTGCCAAATTATTCTCTTTGGAAATAAATAATCTAAAAATTAGTTTAAATCAAGAAATGCTTTTTTTTTAAAATGGGTCTTTTTCCAAATGAAGACCCTGAAGTCGAAATTTGAAATTCCAGCCGCTGTCTCATAAATATTAAACATCAGTCATAAAATTGCCCTATTGCATTAACACATTCTTCACTCACACAAAACATTCCCGTATAAAATTACATAATTGAGTGCTAATGGTTCTTAAAACTGGTTCCTTATGTGTTATTGTAACAGCTCGGAGTGAAAGTGAACCTAATGATTACTCACTACCTAATATTCACAGATACCTACCTATAATATACTATGCATATTTTTGAAATCGTAGGTGTTAAATAATTGTTAGGTACTGACTGAGAATCAAAAGAAGCTGAAAAAGGAAAAATTATTGAAAACGAAAGCAGTGACCTTTAAAAAGGTAATTAAAAAAAATGTAAATTTTTCTTCAGCGATCGTTTGACATTCAGTGTGACCTTAAGATTCGTTGACTTCTTGGTTAAAAGTTGAATACGGACATTATTATGGGTGTGTTTCCCATGAGTCAATTAATTAAAATGCTTGTCATGACCACAATCTTTGATATTACAAGGGAAACGTGCGACAAGTTGAAAATGTCAAAAAAACTCTATGGCTTTAGTGAATTTTTACATTATTGCAATTTCTTGATATTATTTAATTACCGGCATATTTAATAGACCACGTTACAATATGCAATATTGTGAAATGCTTTCCGTTAAATTTTAATATTTAGTGTATGTATACCTACTACCTATATGGTAATGCGTGTATATTATTAAAATAAAAGTTAGATATTGCTCTTACATAAGAATTTGCAAAATTAATTGCAACAGTCTCTTCGATCGTTTTAAGATCATATAGGTACCAGATTTTTTGATCATGTGTGTTTTTATCGTACGCCAATGACCTTAAAATTAACAATCCGATGAGCAGATCGAACACCGGTTTTAGCATTTCAAAATAAGGCCTTTCACTTTTACTGAGGAGGATTACATAAAAATGCCAACTTCGACATAAAAATAATGTCAAAAAAAATTATTATTCTGAACGAGATTTTTTCTGGGTAGTTACGACTAATATTAAAAATGTACCTACGATTACGGCGGTAAAGTTTCTCGCAAGATTTTTTCAATTAAAGCAAGAAGTTGCTGCAAGTTTTTGTTAATCCTAAAGCTCCTACAAATATAAGAATGTGGCACGAATTTAATTTAATGCAATATCTGTAATTAATTTAGGCCTCACTTTCCAAATGAGACAAAAACTAGTTTAGTTTTGTTGTTGCACACTACTTACCTTGCTACAGATGACCGATTTTCCTGTGAAAAAATAATAATAATTAATAAATACATACCTATATGACTTTCTCTATGCATGGAACAAGCATGAGCTTTACTTAAATTTTCATGTTTTTCTCAGATTCTCAAGGCTTCAAATGTCCACCAAAAGACGGACAATACGAAGACTCGCGTCAATGCGACAAATACTACGATTGCATTGACGGTGAAGCTGTCGCCAAACTTTGCCCAGATGGTCTTGTTTTCGACCCATTGATCAGGAAAAGAAACAAGTGCGATCAACCATTCAATGTCGACTGTGGAGACAGAACTGAATTACGTGAGTAACCAAGTTAATCAACGTACAAACATATAACAAAATTTTATTTATTCAGAAAATCCTCAACCAAGAGGTCCTTGTCCGAGAAGAAATGGTTTTTTCGCGCACGAAGACCCAGCAGTATGCAACAAATTCTACAATTGCATTGAAGGTGAATCTATCGAAATCACTTGCACCAACGGTCTTCACTTTGACGAATTTTCTGGTACTTGCGTGTGGCCTGCGTCTGCTGGCAGACAAGGATGCGTTGAAACCTCAAGTAACACTCACATCAATTCACCTTCGAATAATTACTAATTAGATGTTTTTAGATATTTTAAAAGACGGATTCTCGTGCCCGGGAGGTGGAGCCTCAAAAGACGCCAACGGTAACAAAGTTGTTCATCCAAAATTCGCTCATCCCACCGACTGTCAAAGGTTCTACGTTTGTTTGAACGGTATTGAACCACGCGACTTGGGCTGTCAAGTTGGTGAAGTGTACAATGAGGACACTCAGAGGTGTGACTCTCCAGAAAATGTACCTGGATGGTAAGTCGAATGGATTTTTTGGTAGACTGATTTAAATAATACAATTTGATTACAGTGAGGACTGGTACAAAGACGACCCAGCAGCGCCAGCAAGCAAACCATCCAAGAAGAACTAAGTCAGTTCTTATAGAGTGATATTAGCCGTTATGTTCAATAATAATTCAACTTGTCCAAATTTTATGTAATAATTTATTTTTTTAGTTGTTTTCTATGCCAATTACCTACCTTTATTTTTCATACTCAAATTATTTCTTCTTATTCTCTGCCCCGTCAGTATTTTCTTTTCCATCTACTTTGTTTTTGGTGCTTCCACAATTGTCATTGCCCCAAGATTTATCATTGCATACTTTGAATTTTTGTAAGAAATACTATAGGGTGATTCTATGTATTTAAAGAACTGATATGTGTTGTGTGAATGTGTACAGAACATTTTTGTACTTCAATAAACGAAATTAAATTTTAATTGTGGTTTTATTTTATTTTAATACAAATATTCATAGCCAAGACTTCGAGTAGGTAGGTACTTAAAATACCTGAAATGTATGTGCAAAGTTCAGTCATATGTAGGCAGTTCATAGCAAAAGTGACCTAATTTCTTCGAATGACAAGCTGACAAAATCAGAAATTTTCTATTAGGATTATGAGATGATTATATAATTGGCATATGACTTAGGAGCTGATGAAATACTGAATGAATAGTGCTCACTCGCATGTTTCAATTTGTCTTTTATTTCCTGATTGATAATTGGGAGAAGAACATTGTTGTTCTCGGTAGTAAGAACCCAAGGACACTGATAATTGTTCAAAGGTGAGAAAGTTATTAAAAATTTTTTTGAGCATTTACCAATGTTCGAAGGTTATTCATATAGAAAATGTTTTGCTAATTATAGAAACAAATACAAAGCAACGTGATAGGGTGATAGAGTGAAAACAGCCCATGGGATCCGATCTGTTTGAAAGGAGGTGAATTTGCAGATGTTGGGTTTTTCATTCAATATTCTACTAATAATTATTACTTTTCTAAACTTATCTGAAAAATAAGTTACCCAAGAGCAGTATGACGTTGGAGAGCCTGGGCAAGTCAGGTCTGAGAAGATCTTGTCAGGAAGATGCCCAATTAATTTATTCGATAATAAGTTGTCTATGTCACACAATATCTTCCACCTCTCTCAAGGTGGCGGCTTGAAATCGGTCATAGGCAAAATCAAAAATCAAGGCATTTTAAAATGTTGAAGACAGAGTTTACGGACAGCTCTTTGTCAAAGCTGCTAGTTGGAATTTTCAGCGAAGAGATTGGATTTGGAGGATCCTATAATTTTTTATTTTTTTTTGAAATACTTTATTTTAATTTTAATTAGCCAATACAATAATTCAGTGTTCATAACACTGGTATCAAGGACACTAACTAGTACAGCTGTACACAATATAGGAATCCACCACCACAACCCTCCAAACAACAACAATTTGCATATTTTGTGGTGATGTGATGTTTTAAACTCTGTGTAAATGCTCTGAAACCAGACTACTTTAAGTCTGGCAAACTTTTAAAGCTAACAGAGGCCCTTGATATGGGATTATTTGAGCCCTTATCAGTGTTAACATTATGGTGATATATGTTGTTCTGAGAGTCCTTGTGTTGTGATCATGTACATTAATTGCAAATAAAATTAGTGTGTTACATTTTTGAGTACTATTAATTACCTCATAATTATACTTACATTGCTCTAGTTCTAACAACTGGTTCAACTGATATATACTCAACCCTCGGTATAGGTCACATGTGTGTGTTCGCCATTCAAGCTTAAATAGAATTATCAAGATTTTGTTTTGAAGTGTTTGCATGTTTTCGAAAGTTAAGTTACCACATGTACCCCAAACCAAGAGAAGATATCTAAAGTGTGATGCATCATATATCATATGTTTCACATGAATTGTCAAGTAATTTATATATCTATAAAGAGCGCCGATCATTAAAGTAATTTTTTTACTTATATAATTTGTATGTTCAGACCAATTCAAATTTGCGTCTATAATTTAACCTAAGTATTTATTACAATCTACTTTCTGTAACTTTATGTTTCCTATTTTTATGTTTGGTGATTCAGTCTTTTAATTTTGTTTGTTTGAAGAACATAATATATTTGATTTTATCAACTCGACCAACACTTTCGCCAGAATACAATAGCACAATATCATCTGCGAATGTGAAGTATCTACCACTTAAATTTGCATATCGTAAACTCAACTCGTATAATGAGTATAGTAGTGGACCAAGGACAGACCCTTGAGGCACCCCACAAAAATGTTCTAAATCACAGCTTTTACTGTTGGTAATATTACCATACTGTTTCCTATTAACTAAATAAGACTTAATTAAGTTAAGACCATTACCTCTAAATCCCGTATCACAAAGTTTTTTCAATAATTTCTTTAAGTAGACCACATCAAATGCTTTGTTGAGGTCCACAAATACAGCAACAACCAACCTACTCCAGTACAACTAAGTTTCTAGTAATGGGGAACCTGAAACAAATTATAATAAAGCAGCGACTACCTGAAAGAGGTAGTACTAGCAGTCCTTTCTAACATACTGAAAGTCCCCGGATTTACCTTTGACCAAAAGGTCTCAAAATTGGTTCGCCATCTTGAAAATCGGTACTTTTAAACAAAATCTTGTTATATCTTAAAAACTATCACAGATATGAAAAAATATGAAGAGAGTGAAATTGAAAACATACTTCATATTTATTTATTTCCAGCCTTCTATCTGAGATGGAATTGAAGATAAAATAGTCTTTATTTTTTAGAAATAGTGAAAATTTACAACAAGTACGAAAAAGTTGGTGATAGTGCTGCTAAACTACTGGAAGTTTTGTAGAAATGAGGGAAGATAAACTTGCGTTTCAAAAATATAGACAGAACATATTTCTCATGGAATTGAATACTCATGATGCGACTATCAAATCAAATATTGAATTATCAAGTGATAATCGAATAGTTAATTTTTTAGGCGTAGAAAAATATGTGACTGTAAAATTCCTATAACGTTTATTAGTAGGTACATTTTAACAACAATATTATTTTTCTCCAAACGTCAAAAAAAACGTCACTTTGTGAGCACCTGTCAAGATGTTAAGCCGGGCTCAAACGACTCGTGTACTTGACGAATAATCGTTACTTGCGTATACTTGCCATGCCGTGTGAGTGGGTTACTTGTACAATTATTTGTCACTCGTTGGTTTTCCATTTCTTGTCGGTAAAAATGTCCCGAGTCAAAGGGATCACGGTTATTCGTACACTTGCCAAGTTCATACTTGTAGAGGCGCTCAAACGAAATGCACAAATAATTGGCTTTCACTGCGACTATTTTATTTAGTTTTCGACGAGCATCAAGGTTTAGCCAAATGTTCGCGCTCGCGTACTTGTAAATTGAACACGTCGTGTGAGCGCCCTGCTTGCCATCGCAATTCGCAAAGCTCGTATACTTGCCAAGTACGCGAATACTTGTGTATTCGCCAAGTACACGAGTCGTCTGAGCCCGGCTTTAGAAATTTAATTTCTTTGCTGGTACCGGGTTAACACCTGTCGAGGTGGTAGAAATTTAATTTTTATGCGGCTAGGCAACGGCAGCGGCAGTAGAAGTACTTTTAGTGCCGCTGGAGCGGCAGCAAAAGTACTTTTAGTGCCGCTCGTATTTTTACTGCCGCTTAACCATTCAGTTACCCCCGAGCTTACCCCATTCGTTTGGAGAAAAAATAGCGTGTTGCATACGGAGTAGAAGCACTTTTTTGTGCTACAGCAGTATTGCAAGCCTCACTACGTTCGGCTCGCAAACCTACTGCTTCAGCACAAAAAAGTAAAGCTTCTACTCCTAATACAACAATATACTATTCCAGCAGCTAGTTAAAGCAACGGAAAATTTGTCAGTTTTCTCAGATTTCCATTTTTGAACGATTACAGTAGGCCTACATTCCTAAACACCTGATTTGTTTACAGTGGAAAAATTGAGCGGTTTTATGCATTAAATTTGGATCTGTTGCTCTCTTTGTTTAGTTTTGATTAGTGTTTTACGTGAGTTTTCACTTAAACATTGTTAGTACATAGGAAAACTTTGTACTTGGTTGGTGGTACATGCCACAAAACACATGCGAAATAATCAAGGCGAAATTTTAGGTAAGTTAGATATTCAAATTATCACTAAAAATTGAAGTTATTTATCTGTAGACTTCGCACATCTTTAATTAAAAATAGTGACGCACACAAACTACTTTACAGTACCACAAAGTCAATTCATTTTAATTTCAATATTTAAGTGAGGTTACGATATGACGGCCTATCTTTAAAGTACAGGTTGCGTATATAGTCACAGTTGGATCTACGATGATTTCTTCGCGGTTGTAACATTCAAGAACACTGTAATCGTAATTTATTTTTTTGCTCCAGAATGTTTGTGTGCTGTGTGGCCTCACGTTGATCAAGAAGACAGTTAAAATTACACAGAAGGGCTTACAAACACTGAAAAAAAGCAAGCGGGGAACGGAATGATGGAAAGTTGGAGTTATTGGAGAACAACTGAGCTAATGGTTCGGTTCACGTGAAATGCAGAAGAGACTACACAAGGCCAACTAGCATAAAAGCGTCAAAAAATGATCTAAAGAACGTGACGGGACAGCCAACAAGCCGTCCACATTTAAAGGGGGTGTGACCTAAAAATGAAAGTTTTAGTGCAAAAAAATCTAAGAATAAATATTTAAACCGCGTCTTGCTACGATGATCCGTTTTCGAGTTAGGGCGGTTTAAAGTTACAACTAGGCTTTTGTGACGTCACGCTGGATTATCAGGGACAGTATTAATACGTGTAAGAATTTCCCAAAACAAAAAACAATTATCTCCTAGAACGAATTGCAACCACTCAAAGTATATGGTACGGTTCACTGACGACTGAACAAACAGAATACTGCGGTTCGGCGGTTGTGACATCATAAAATCCTGCATAATTTATCTTCACAAGGAATTTTCTCGGAGACTATTTTGAATATACGACTGCGGTTTCCACGAGAGATCTTAGATTTTTTTTCTTGATTTAGGTAGCTTAAGTGGTTTTTTAGGGTCACACCCCCTTTAAGAAGTTCAGAACCTGATTTTAATTTCAAACCTGAATGTATATTTTGCGCCAAGAAATGTCACCATAAACGTGAAAATCGAACCCAGAAAACTAGCCTTGTCACAACATTGGAAGTCAAAGATATCATCATAAAACACTGTGATCTCTCGCAGTGGTTGCGATAAATGGGTATTTCAAGTGAAGAGTCGCATATTATCTGAAATAGATCTTGTTGCAGCGGAAGCGCGCTATCATAGAAGCTGTTATGGATCTTTCATAAATATTAAAACCGAAAAAAAAGCACTTGGTGGATCAGAAGATGCAGAAAATGTAAATGCTTTTAAAAAAATATGTCAATATTTAGATGGCAATTAAAAGGAAATGTGCCAGTTATCTCTTGCTGACATACAAAATAAAATGAAAAAAAAATTTCCACCAAACTCCAAGCCATGGTCCACCAAAAAAAAAAAAAATTGTTGAGCATTATAAATATTTATAAAGAAGAGTTAGTACCTAATCATCGATACTCCTGGATGCCCCACTGTTTTGTGCTTCAAAGAAAATAACGAGGAGCTCATAAAAAATGCTTGGAAGGACAGGTCATTTGATCAAGATAAACGTCAAGGTATAATCGAAACTTGTGCCAAAATTTTAAAGGAGGAAATAAGGTCTCGTAGCTTCAATCTTGAAGAGTATCCAAGTACTGAATAAATTTCCACCGGGGACATCGAAAACCGAAGGACTTTTGTTTTTTTTTTATCCACTCTACGCGGTAAAGAAATAAACACTAGAACTATTTCCATCGCCACTGCAACAATAGCTCTTGTTCGTCCTCGGTCTTTTGTTTCTCCTGGGGGCGGATTACGAACTCTCGATTCGAACCGAAACCGCCATGGATTTCGAACGCACTCCATGCGAATGCATCAGAATGCGTTCGAAATCCATGGGGGTTTCGGTTCGAATCGAGAGTTCGTAATCCGGCCCCTGTTCTTTTTAGCATTGCAATATATTTACATCGAAAATATGGATGTAGAAATTTGATAGACCTATTATCAGCGCTAGGCTTTTCAGATACGTATAGAGAAACTTTAAAATTGGAAGCGTCAGCTGCTCAGTACCATGAGCATAAAGTAACAGATGAAGCATTGCAACAATTCGTGTTTGATTACGCTGATTGTTCCGGTAATTAGATACCTGAATTGGTTTAATTGGTTCAACTCTAAATAAAGGTTTATGACAACCAGTCAAGCTGGCAACAAGGCGTTCCGATGAAGTCGCAGGGCCAGTGTTGCCAACCGTATGATAATTATTAATTTGTATTGTAATTTTACGAATGCGTATTGTAACGTTTTAGCGTATGATAATTTGTAATAATTCTTCAACTTGTCGAAAACTGCATAATATTTAAAAAAAAAAAAAAATTTCTCTAAATTAGTAAATCATAGTCGCCAACAGAAAGCAAAGAAAAACAAGGTTATGTTGTGTTGTGTGTTGACTTAGTAGAAAGCGCCAGAAGATTTTGGCGCCTTTTCAAGCACTCTACAGCTAACTTCATCATAGCGCAGATTCATAAATACCTACCTAACCTAACCTAATAAGCGCCAAGCGGTTTTATTTTATTGCCAGTTTTTAAAAATTAAAATGTATGAATTGTCTGATAGCAGTGATATTAGTGATATCGATAGTGATGAACGCGATAATCCTGGCAGCTCTAGAGCCACTGTACTCTAGAGGAGCGAAAAAAAGAAAAATACACACATCATCTGGAAAATGTAGAGATCAAAAATATAGATCTCAATGGGAGTCCGAATTCAAGTGGCTTAAACCCGTAAATGGTATGTGCGTAGGTTTAGAAAACATCATAATTGAGTTTTGGAAGTGTTTTTAATTCAATCGTGTTTAATTTAGATAATCCAAGGCAAGGTCAGTGTTCAGCATGCTCCAGAGTTTTACGAGCCAATATTGGTGTGATAAAAAGACATGGTGAAGGTGCAAAACACCAGCAAAATGTGAAAAATATACAGTGTCAACTGAATTTAAGAGATTTTATTAAAAAAAATGCAACTGATAGCAAGGTCAAAAGGGCTGAACTGAAGTTATGTGGTTTTCTAGCTGAACACAACATTGCATTTTTGGCAAATGACCACCTAGTTCCCCTTCTTCAAGACTGTTTTCCGGATTCAAATATTCTTAAAAATGTAAAACTTGGTAGAACTAAGGCTACAGGAGTTACCAAAAATGTAATTGGGCAGAACGAATTTTGTGATCTTGATTTGATCGTTCCTGTACCTAAATCCAAAGAATAAACTCTCTAGTAGTATATTAATCCTGTTTTATTTATAAATCCAAATATTCTTTGCAATTTAAAATCAAAGCCCCAAGTTTTCTACAAGCCAAATCATATAAAATGTTTTATAAAATGGTTATTATACCTATACCTACTAATTTTTTTCTATTTTGGTTATTGTTAAATTAACAAATAATGAAACAAAATAATAACTAATAATTAATATATTAAAAATAATTATATTTATATTTATTTTTATTTGAGTTGACGTTCGACGTTGATGATGACAACAACTCAAATTTCAAAGTCATAATTATGATGTTTAAACGTCTGTCTCTGTAGTCTGTTTTCACTTTCACTGATCTAGTGCAGCTTCTGGTGTAACTTTGGTGCAAGCAAATAAACAAACAAGGCTACTATATAACCAAGATAACGAAAAAAACTTAATATTTTGTGTATGATAATTTGTATAATAATGTCTAAATCGAAAATTAATAATGTATAATAATTTTTGAAGGTTTGTATTATAATAATAAAATCATAGGTTGGCAACACTGCGCAGGGCAGATATTCATATTCCGCTCCCCTCTATAGTGTCAAGTAGTACCCCAAGGAAGAAGCATGTTGCGCTTGGGCCGACAGCTTTCTTGGCATTCGGGGTTGTAATTTATTGCGCAATATTGCAAAATAATATTGTACTAACTCGTTTTCCGTTCAAATATCAATAATAATAAAGTAATAAGTAAATAGGATTCGAGTTTCATTGCAATAATCAATATACAGTCCACTGAAGAAGAAAAAATAAGTATTTAACCTAAAAGTGAAAAGCTCAGAAAATAAAGTGAACCAGTTTAATAATACCCCATCATATGGTCCTATACGACCCGAATAGTAATGTGGGACGTATTTGATCCCGCTGAATAATACAAGTACAAGTGAATAAAATATTTGATTCAAAGCGACGCCAAGGGAGAGAAATTCCAAGAAATCTTCAAGAAATAAAAACCTTATTAGGTATTTTCTTTTAATTTGAAATACCTATGTTGTGTAGGGTAAGTTTGGCTTGGTTAAATATAAATTTGTTTATTAACTTGTGGGTTGATGAGTATTGTATTTTATTACTATATTTTGTAAGGCAAATAATTGAAAAATTTCCTTTATTATAATAAATAATAATAAATATGTCGAAAAAAAAATTAATTAAGCGGCACAAAAGTGACCGCAAATATGTTGTGTCGAAGTTAGACAGATTTTCTGACTAGTATAAAGGATCTTGCGATGAATTTACAAATAAAGCTGCTATTAAAGAACGGTTTGTCAAATGCGAATCACTTTGGGACGAATAAGCTGCAATTAGAGTTAGAATTTTTAGAAGACCAGAGTGCAGATCTGGAGCGGGAAAGGTTTGAAACTAAATATTTTGAAACAATTTGTCAATTCAAGGAATTAATGCATAATGATAATTCAAATAATATAAATTCAAGTCAAGTAAATTCCTTTTCTAGTGCAGTTAAGTTACCTCCATTAGATTTACCATTTTTTGATGGAAAATACGATAAATGGAATAACTTTTTTGACACATTCGTTGCGTTGATTCATTCCAATACAAATTTTACTGAAGTCCAAAAATTTTATTATTTTCAATCGTGTCTGAAGGGGGAGGCTTCTCAGGTGATTTCTTCCATACCAGTGACGGACTTGAACTATGAAATAGCTTTTAGACTCATAAGGGAACGCTATGAAAATAGGCGTTTAATAGTGCAAAGTCATATTAAATCTCTCTTTGATATGCCTGTAGTGGGTAAAAATAATTATAACGAACTTAAAAATTTTTGGATACAATACAAAAAAATGTTAGGGCTCTTAAAAGTTTAAAGGAGCCAGTACAACACTGGGATACAATCTTGATATATTTATTCAATCAAAAATTAGACCTTATTAGTAAAAGTGAATGGGAGGCGTTTTCTATAAAAAATAATGCTACAGGTTTTGATGAATTTATAAAGTTTTTGACTGAAAGATGTCAAGTTTTAGAAAGCGTCCACTCTGATGTAAAGTTAAATGACAGGTCTTCAGATAAAGTTTCACACGGGGTTCCACAGAGAGTTCCGCGAAATTATTCTAGAAATTTTCTTTTAAACAACGAGCAGTGCTTAATATGTCATAATGGTGAACATTGGTTTTCGAACTGTTCGAAGTTTTTGAGTTTGTCTGAAAGTGAAAGAATAAATGAAATTAAAAAATTGCGTTTATGCCTAAATTGCTTTAAATCAAATCATTTAAGCCCCAAATGTACCTCAAACAGTTGTAGGAAATGTGGCAGACCGCATCACCATTTGCTGCATGTAGATCAAAATTTAATTCAAATTATAAACAAGAAAACCAACGTTCTGGAAATCAATCACAAATAAAGTCCCCTAGTATTGTGGCGGACACAAGTACCTCGACAAGTACTAATCATTTAGCAATAAGTGAAATTCCTTCGGGTCAAAATACTCAAAATGAATCAATTAGTGATTCTTGTACTGTGGAAACATCAATTAGTGCTCATAGTGCAAATAATTTCCAGAAAAGTGAAATTTTATTGTCGACTGCCAAAGTGTTGGCGTTTGATGATGATGGTGATTCACATTAAGTTAGAGCTTTGTTGGATTGTGGCTCGCAGAGCAATTTTATTTCTAATGAGTTAGTTTCCCAGTTAAAGTTAGAAACTAGTGAAGTGAATATGTCGGTTATTGGTGTAAATAGTTCTGTGACTCAATCTAGTAAAGCTGTACAGCTCAAAGTTCAATCTAAATTTATCGCCTTTTCAGTGAATTTAAATTTTTTTGTGCTTAATAAAATTGCAAATAACTTACCACTTCGCCCTGTAAATAAAAATAACCTCAAAATGCCATGTAATTTGTTTTTGGCAGATCCCACCTTTAATATACCAGGTCCCGTTTATTTGCTGTTAGGGGCAAACATTTTTTACGACCTTTTAATGGCAGGACAAATTAGGACTGCTGAAGATATGCCAATGCTGTAAAAGACGAAGCTGGGATGGGTAGTAGCAGGTAACATGTCCATAAATAACCCAGAAAACAAGAATAAAAATAAGGGCGCTGAGGTTAGTTGTATGCAGACGGTATGTAATTATACATCAAATGCAAATATACAAAAACAGATGGAACAATTTTGGAAACTAGATGAGTTACACCCAACTAAAATATATAAAAAGGAAGAACAAGATTGTGAAGATTTATTCGTAAGAACAACGACACATGCTGATGATGGAAGATTTTTAGTTGAGTTGCCTACTATTAATAGAATGGAAAATATTGGAGATTCAGAAAAAATGGCTCTTAAAAGATTTTATAAACTAGAGAAAAAACTGGCCTCAAATGAAAACCTAAAAAAGGAATATACTGATTTCATGATAGAGTATGAAAGGCTGGGTCATATGACATTAATACCGGAAAGTGAAATTGAATCCAATAATCCAACCTATTACATGCCTCATCATCCAGTATTAAAGGAAACTAGTAGCACCACCAAACTACGAGTTTTTTTTTTTTTTTACGGATATGCGCACTCGCAAGGAAATGTCCTATCACGCTCGAGAAGCGGCAAGTGCGCGGAAATGTCGGTGTATGTTGGTCTTGAAACGGTTCAGGTTGTAACCTGCAGGGAAAACCGTCGCAGGGAGTTTATTCCACAGCGATGCTGTTCTCCAGAGATATGAATTCTGATATAATGAGGTTCTTGGTGCCTCTAGTTTGACAGTAAATTCATGGTTATCGTCTGTTTGACGGGTTCGCCTGGTAGGTGCTACTCTCGGTGGAATCATACGTGCCAACTCTTCAGAGCATTTTCCGTGATAGTACCTGTAGAAGAGAGATAAATCGCCCACAGATCTGCGATGTTCGAGACCATCCAAGTTACGAGTAAGTGCGGGGTCATTGATCAGCTTGATAGCTCGTTTTTGCACGGTATTCAAAAGCATTAAGGTATGTTTGGGTGCTGCACTCCATATATGTGAGCAGTACTCCATAGTTGGTCGAATCTGGGCTTTGTAGAGTGTCAGCAATTGGCTTGGTGTGTACAGATGTCTTGTACGAAATAGCACCCCCAGCTTTTGGGACGCCCTTTTAGCAATATCTGCCACGTGACTGTGCCAAGACATGTTGGTCTCTGCAGTAACCCCCAAGATGTTCAACTGACTCTGTAATGTGACAGCACTTCCAGATAGCATGATGTTTGGCTCACCGGTGCTGGTCTTTTTTGAAAACAGAGCTGCTTGGGTTTTCTGCGCGTTGAACTGTACAAGGTTTTTGTTACCCCAGTCCTCTATTATCTCCAGGTCGTTATTTATCTGCGATATTTGAGTTAGTCTAAGATGATGGAATTCACGAGCGGAAAGACCTGTGGGTGGTATGAGTGAGGAGACTACATTGCCATCGTCTGCAAAGCAATAAAGTGGATTTACTGTTTTATCTATAAGGTCATTTATGTAAATCAGGAAAAGAGTTGGCGAAAGGATTGCTCCCTGTGGCACACCAGCATTTATTTGGTAAGAGTTGGAGTTCTGGCCATCCAGTGCAACATAAATGGATCTGTCCTTTAGGTAACTTTCAAACCAAGTGCAAAGTTTCGGCGATAATCCCATTGCTTTGAGCTTGTTGAGCAGATTTTCATGCCAAACTTTGTCGAATGCTTTAGATATATCTAAGGCAATTGCTCTTGTTTCACCCCGCAACTCAATCGCTTTTTGCCATAAGTGAGTGACGTATGTAAGTAAATCGCCAGTTGACCTATATTTTCGAAATCCGTATTGCCTATCGTTGATAATTTTGTACTTTTCCAAGTACTTGGTTAGGTGATTGTTCACAACTCTTTCCATTACTTTTGATATCACCGGAAGTAGAGGAATTGGTCTATAGTTTAACGGATCTGTCTTTTTTCCTTTCTTTG